ATCCTGAAGCATCTTTCGCACCTGACTTTCTATGGCCTCACGTTCCCGCGGAGCTACTCGGTATGAGTTCTGCCGTATGGGTCTGGCCGTTTCATCCGTAATTATGAGATGTTTCGTCAACGGCGTTTGGCGAACTCTGGACGTTGAAGAAAAACAGTCCTGAAATTCATTAATAAGTTTCAGAAGGCTTTGCTTCTGCGGGGGCAGTAAACTTGGGCCAACGTCGATGGATAGAGGGGCTGAGCCGGCGACATCGGCTTTCTCCACAGTAAAGCAGCTTGCAACCTCAATGAGCTCCTCGACGTACACGGCTGCCATACCTTTTGCAAGATGTTGTCGCTCAGTACTGAAGTTCGTAACCAGAACATGCGTGTGTCCGCAATTGAGGCTTATGACGGCTCTTGCAATAGATAAGCCATGGCTGAATAGCAATGCTGGAATTTGTTCAGCGATGTGGTCAAAGTTGCCTGGGTGGTCGCATGTTACAGCTACGAGAGCACTTGAACGGGGTGGAAGGGTCACGTGATCTTCGAAGACTCGCAGATGTTTACGCTGCTGGTCGTTACATCTCATATCTGGAACTTGATCTGGGGCCATCAAAAATGTAACTGACCTGTCTAGAATGTCTATGACGGCGCCGTATTCACAAAGGAAGTCCATCCCCAAGATAAGGTCTTTGCAACACTCAAACAAAATCACGAACGTGGCAACGAAAGCTGAATCACCGATACTAATTCTGGCAGTCCACTTTCCAGTTGGCGTCATCAGTTGGCCCCCCGCGGTTCTTATGTTAGGCCCCGTCCATGATGTTTTAACTTTTTTAAGCCAATCAGCAAGCTTTCTGCTCATGATAGAGAAATCTGCGGCAGTGTCTACTAGCGCTGTCACAGGGCGTCCGTCTATGTGAACAGCTATGTCGGCGCTTACGATTTCCTGTGGGGTCAGCGGCGTTGCATGGTTCGTCGTATCGTACTGGTACTGGAGGTATTGCAGCATCTCGACCAGTGGCAACCTTCCCTCCAAAGGTTGCAGCTGTTAGTTTCCCCGATGAGGGCTTGGGGACCTGCCCTGGACAGCGTCGGCGTAACTGCGACGGCTGGGCGAAGGTGACGGAGAGCGGGGTCGATGATACAGAGCGGATGGCTGTCCCTGCGAGTGCGCGCTGTCACGTCGGGTGTCGAAACGAGGTCGTGAAAAAGTCGGTGCATAAGTCGGGTATCTTTCTTCACGATATGGACAGATGCGGTAGACATGTCCAGCTTCTCCGCAATTGAAACACAGTGGACGGCGGTCGACGGTGCGCCACAGATCCGTCTTCCGAACGAATGGTCGACTGGTAGGCACCCTCGGCAACCAAGTTGCAGGTGTCGGCGGAGGGTAGAACGGCGGGTAGAATGGAGTTTCAGTAGGTGCGTTATATTGCGGAGTCGCCGTCGTTGGTGGTGGTGGTGGTGGTGGCGGCGGTGGGTTGTAGACTGGTGGCGCCAGCGTGTCGTAAGAATGAGCCAGTGCAAACGAGTTATGCGGCACTGGCGACAGACGACTGGTGGCTGCCGCGTAGTTAATAGATCGCTGGGCTGGTAGTGATTTGGGCTGGGAAAATGCTTGCCTGATTTCCTGCCGCTCAACTTCTCCAACTGAAGCCATCGCCAGTTCTTGCGGAGTCACAAGGAAGTTGCGGATCTCCTCACGAACAACCTCGTGAATAAGCTCACGAAGAGCCGGCCGTCAGAGCAGAGACGCTGATTGAGGCACCGTTTGGTCGGTCGTAATAGCGACATCGTTGCTGCAGTGTGGGCTCGATAGCTGTAGCCTCTTTGATTAATCCGCAACGGTCGTCGGTGGATTGCGGAGAAGGCCGGCAAACAGCTGTTCTTTGACGCCTGGCATCAGATGGCGGAGTTTCTTGGCTTCAGGCATATCAGGGTGTCACAGGTCCCGTTAATTCGGGAGGCGATCGCCGGGCTAATTACAAGGGCCGACGTATCGGCCCCCCGAACCGCACCACTAAAGCGTGGACAATTTAGAAGTGGTCCTTTTTGGCGCGCCAGCGGACGCCGGCTGTGGCCCAAAGAACAAGTCAGAGCCGAGAATTGATAACCAAAACAAAATTATATTCTCAATAATGGCAGATCAAAAAACAATACACAAGTATGCACACTCCACAATAGTTGCATACAATATGTCACCAATCAAACAACGTACTACACAGTACCATCAGCCACACTCGAAACAACGGACACAGACAACAATACGCACTACAATGCAGTCGCATACATTGGACAACCAAGACACTTAAAGACTAAAGAGATAGAAAACCTATTCAGTCCAAAGTTCTTGGAACAAAAGTCTGGATGATACCCTTCCGAGAATCACTCACTCAAAGTCCAGCGTTGTTGTCGTTCCGCTGACCCCGAAGTTTCTCTTCCAGGAAACCTCGCCGAAGTTTCTCTTCCAGAAAACCTCGCGTCTTCAATTGGCCACTCTCCAAGCTTCAAACTTCTTCGCCGGAAACACGTCGGCTTCGCACACGCAGCTGTTGCCACGCGTCTTCGCTCGATAGCGGTAAACACACACACTCTTGCTTGTAGCTCGAGTCGTCACCCCTCAGGTGGAAATCATCTTCTCCTGCTTTGTCTCTACGGGCAAAACCTTCGCCGACTACACGGCGGAATACCCTACGCGCTCTGGCGCTAACTTCCGCCTTCTCCTGATCTCTCGTCTCGGCTGCTCGATTAAATACCTTCCGCGCGAGATTCCAGAAAGTTCTCATCATTTTGTCAGCGCGATGCGCAGCGAAGGCTGGGGAGAGGGCGAGACGGTTCGTAGGCCGTCCGCGACGGATGACGCAACCCGGCATCACCACGCCCCTTTCCATCGAGAATCTTCTGGGGCCTGCTCGGCCGCCGACACGAGGAGGTTCGTCGGCAAACCTACGCTTCCGAGGGGAGAGGGATGCGCGCCCGGGGGGGGGGTCTCCCTGGATGCTTGTTTTCTTTCTTTTTCTTTTTTTATCGTTGACCTCTCAGCGCTTCATCGCGAGAATTTGGCGGCGCGCCCTTTTTTGAGCGCTCGTTTTGTGACACAGGGTCAGCCCGTCCAAATAGGCGCGTCATGTCCTCCGCAAACATGGCGACACTTTCATTCAGTTTCTGGACCCGAGACTCGATGAGTTGCTGAGCAAAGTCACGGTGGTCGTTGTTTGCGAAGGTGCTGAGAACTTGGTAGCGAAATTCATCCCATGAAGACAGCGTTGCTTCGTGGTTCTCATACCACGTATGAGCGCTGTCTGCTAAAGCAAAGTAAGCGCGAGAAAGCTTTAACTCGGTGGTCCAGCGGTTTGCCTTAGTGACTCGCTCATACTGGGCTAACCAGTCCTCAACGTCTTCATACGCCTCACCATGGAATGTTTCCGGAATCTGAGGCTGCTCAAAAGTCAGCTGCGAAGCACCTGCAGTTGCCATTTCTCCAGGCGGAGTACTATGCTGGGAAAGTTCCAGGGGAATCGCCTCAGGACTAAGGCCTCGCTGTCGGCGACTGTAGCGGTGGACAGGGGTATCCACTGAAGGAACGGGTTGCGGTGTCGGACTTGAAGTGCCGGGTCGCGGAGGAGTCCCGAGCATCAGTCGTAGAAGTCCAGCACCTCCACCAGTGTCGCAACGTGCAAAGAACAGGACACAAGGCTTCCTTTCGACGTTAACAGCAAGGCTCTATTGGCACACAAAAACAAAGGCAAGAGCAGACGTGCAACGTCGTCTTCCTCGAAAACGCCAGAGACCACCACACGTGATGCTGGCTTCTTCCTCCTTTTGTGCTTACGGCTAATAACCGTGATAAAATATAAATATATATATATATATATATATATATATATATATATATATATATATATATATGAGTGTGTGTAGAAAGAGAGAGAGGACAGAACAAATAATTTAGAGACTGCACTGAATCCGCAAGCTTCCAATGTGCGATGAGAGGCATAATGCCGCAAAAGAAAACACATACAGAAAAAAAACGAAGCTAGGCACAAGGACAAATGTGCGATATTATCATTTCGTTTCCTCTGTGTTCATTTCATTGAATTGGTCAAGTACGTCACTAAACTACCAAGCTAAACGAACAATGAGTATTGTTCGTATCATTGGAGACATTTAATTTTGTTTGAATAAAAAGATAAGAGCAAACATTAATGTGAAATGTAACTTCCATTGCCCACATCAGGATGATCACTGTACGTTTTATGTGCACTGCAGGACAAAAACATGTTGGAACTATTTCTAATTCACTCTGCCCCGCAACAACCTCCTAATTTCTTGATTATGTAGCTGTCCTTGACCCATCCCTGCGCACGGCCAGGTTTTTGATATCTTGGTATGCATTCCGGTATTCCAATAAACATAGTTTGTCCTTCACATTACATGACCTGTCCCGGTCATGTAATGTCGCAGTGGGTGCCGAGCCCAATTATGAGCTTTAGTGATGAACACTGAATTTTATTGCGCTGTAAAATATTCCGTAACATGTTCCTACTTTTTCTTTCGTTTTCATTAAAATTATTCCACCTGGGCCAAGCACTCATTATACAAACTTGCACATAACAAACTATAAGCACTCCAAACAAAGGCTCAAACACGGAAGTAATTTTGTTTTCCCGAATACTATCAGCAAATACCAATAACGATTTATTCTGCCTTCCGACTATTTACTTTTATACTGTAGAAACTGTATTTCAATTGCATTGCCGTTTTTACGCCCCGTATTCTGCTTTTTGTGCAAGGATTAAACAGACTGACACCTGAATTGAAGTCATTGGCAATTGGATTAAACACGGTGGCACTTGGATTAAGTTTTTGGCACAAGGATTAAATAGATAGGCACTCAGATTATTTCAATGGCGTGTAGATTATTTAAGCTGGCACTTGAATTAAAGTGAGCGGTAAAACCTGTCGTCTTCTTAAAGCACACACATGTGTTACAATTTTAAGAAAGCAGACTACCTCATCAGCTGGCTCAAGGTTTTCCAGGCATCCATGCTTAAACTGAGCTCCAGGAAACAGCAACTATAACAAAAAACATGCAGAAAAGATTGTTAATAATATACAGCAAAAGTACCAAGCTGAAATTTCACAATTTCTTTTACATCAAAATTACTTTGACACAGCACCATGACAAATAAAAGAAAAACATTGCTGGGGAGGATACCTAAGCATGAAAAGAATGAAAAAACATTTCACAGTGTACATCATTTTATTACTCAGTAGTTTCTACATTTCTTTAGGTCATATTAAAATGATGCATATATTTGTTTCATGCTTATATTATGCCAGCTAACAAATATTATGCAACCACTGCTAGGGGCCCGACATGCCTGCTATTGTCGATTATAACCAGACAGCATGTGCTAGTGGGAAGGCAATATACATGCTAGAACCTACACGAGCATAAGGAATGCAAGTGCACAAGAACTATGGACACCAATTTCATTGCTGTTTGAGTGCAACCTACTTTTTGGAGGGCATAAAGTCACATTAAAGTTTAACCTTCAATTAAAACCTAGGCTGCAAGGAGTGCTCATGATCAGAGGCTCTCACCACAAGACGCATAAGAACCCTCCCCCCAGTTGGCTCGGATCCGTGGTGTTACAACACACACCAAATGCTTGCTTGTGCAGATGTCCCTGCGGGGATTTGAATCGTGCTAGATATCACGGATACTTATAGTGCATCAGTTGCGTTTTGGGTCTCGAAATGCTACTAGGAAGTTGATAATAACTTGTAGATAGAAAAATCTCAACATGAGTAAATTTAATGTCAGTGCTCCTTAAAAAGCAGCGAAATCACCTTAAAAAATGAATTCATACCCGTTTACTTCGCTCAAACGGTTACATTGCCACAGTCAGGTCCTAAATAGCTTGCAAGGCCTACCGATTCACTTATGTGGAATTTCTGTGCTCACAAACGTTCTTGTGATTACATTCAGTGACTGCAGGAAACTCAGCCGATTCTTCCTAGCTGCATGCACCAACTTGCCTACAATGCTCACACTGTCCCTGCCAAGGCACTTGCTGTGGCGTACTTAGCAAGCACTCCAGCAGAGCTTGTTTGTCACACTACTCAGTTCCTGATCACACATGGTTGCAGTGATGGCAAGCTTTTTACATTCCCGAGAGGAACATCAGTGCGGCGCAAATAGTAGTCTCCACACAAAGAAGTGCCAATGAACAACAGCGCAGCGTATGCGAGTTTTCGCCTATGAAATGCGTGCATTGTCCTCGAAACTGTAACAGGTCCCATGCCCTGCCGAGCAGTTCTTACAAAATGATTATTGCAATAGGGTTTTCAGCGATCAAACTGTATTGGCATCACCTTTATGCATTTTCGGTGCTTATCCTTACAGGCATCGCTGCACTACACTGTGACAGTGGCCCCTTCCGATTATTAATACTGTAGCAGATATAACAACCTCACAACAAGGATGTTCTATTTACAAGTTTTAATAAGGGCGAACTTGTGCCCCAGCAAAAGGAATGACACAATAGCTGGGAAAAGGAACCGAACGTCCGTAGTCCTTGCGAACCTCTGCCTCGAGCACCGTCGTTTTCGTCTTCACGCGCGCTGGCCGCTTGGTCGAAGCTCGTGCGCATGCAGGACCCGCTCGGCCATTGCGGCTGGCTTCGTCTCTTGTAGCGGTGCCGTCAGCGCTTCTCCTGATCGCGATGTCTGCCTTACACAGAGCATTGGCAGTTTCCCGTGGCATTATCCCCCCTCTCAAGCGGCATCCACCCGATGCGTGCAATGCAGTTGTAGCGTAGCAAGCGATTGGTGTGCTAGTCTTCGTATCGGTCGTAGTAGGGTTTCATGCGTACAATGTGTACGCGCTCCGTGGGATTGCGTCGTCTCGAATGCACGTGGCCTGCAGGCTTGACTTCATAAACGAGTTCACTGAGTCGGTGTACTATCTGGTGTATTATCTCATATGGGCCGAAATATCGGCAAATGAGTTTTTCAGACAGGTCTCGTCGGCGTACTGGGGCCCATATCCACACTTTGTCGCCCACATCATACCGCGTTTCACGTTTTCCCCGGTTGTAGCAATCTGCGTCGAGCCGTTGTTGGTGGTATATTCGGTACCTTGCTAACTGGCGGACCTCTTCCGCTCTTTGTATAAAGTCGTCCAGATCAGGGAGATAGTCGTGTTGGTCTATCGGTAACATGGCGTCCAGTGTTGTGGTAACTGCACGATCGTAAACAAGTTGGAACGGGGTAACCTTGGTTGTCTCTTGTACGGCAAAGGTGACATATGGTAAAATTTCGTCCCAGTTTTTGTGCTAGACATCCACATACATAGATGTCATGTCAGCAAGAGTTTTATTAAGACACTCCGCCAGGCCATTGCTTTGAGGATGATATGCAGTTGTTTTTCTGTTAATAGTGTGAGTCATATTGAGAAAGCACTTCATAAGTTCTGCTGTGAAAGCCGTTCCGCGATCAGCACGTTGTTGAGTACAAAAAAATTGGCTACTTCAGCCCCCGTTCCCCATTCCAAGGAGTCTGTTTCAGCATATCTCGTTAAATAATCGGTCGCGACCATGATCCATTTCCTGCCAAATGAAGACGTCGGGAAAGGTCCAAGGAGGTCCAATGCAACTTGTTGGAAAGGTGCTTTCGGTGGGTCTATAGGTTGTAGAAGGCCCACCGGTTCAGCACTAGGTTTTTTCCATCTTTGGCATTCGGGGCATGTCTTTAGTGCTGTATTGAAGATAAGAGCTTGGGCCAATAGTAGTGCAACTGATTCTTGCAAGCGTTCGAGTCATGCCCAAATGTCCAGACGTGGGCTCATTGTGGCACGCTCGTATTATTTCTTGTCACACATTTGTAGGAAGGACAAGCAGGAACTTTTCGCGGTTGGGCCTAAAGCTTCTCTTGTAGAGAACATTTTTCTAGAGGCAGAATGATGTGAGGCTTCAGGAAAATATATGCGGCACTTGTACATCGACTCCTTGCAGGTGTTTGATGAGAGGGGGACTATTCTTCATCAGCGCGGTGAAATTCGGCTATTTGAGTAGTTTTGACAATACCTACGAACGGAAAGTCCTCGTCTTCTAATAGTGCTGTGTCTACAGGCGCCCGTGACAAACAGTCAGCATCGGTATGCTTTCTCCCAGATCGGTATACCACGGTTATATCATATTCTTGCAGTCTGAGGCTCCACCTTTTTAGTCATCCGGATGGATCCTTGATGTTCGCCAGCCAGCAAAGGGCATGATGATCGCTGACTGCCTTGAATGGCCTACCATATAGACAAGGCCAAAATTACTGATGGCCCAGATAATGGCAAGACATTCTTTCTCTGTAGCCGAATAGTTGGTCTCTGCTTTTGTTAGAGTCCGGCTGGCATAAGCTATGACCTTTTCTTCGCCATTCTGCCACTGTATTAGAATGCATCCAAGGCTGATGTTACTAGCATCTGTGTGTATTTCCGTGTCAGCTGTCTCATCAAAATGAGAAAGAATTGGGGGCTTTTCCAACCATTTTTCGTAATCGTAATTCGTTGAAGGCGCTCTGTTGCTCATTTTGCCACTGAAAAGGCTGATCTTCCCTCGTGAGTTTCGTTAAAGGCTCTGCAATTTTCGAGAAATTTCGGACAAACCGTCTAGTACGCACACGGACCTAAAAATCTCCTTACTGACTTTTTGTCTGTTGGTACCGGAAGCCTTGCGACGGCTTCTGTCTCTTCGGGATAAGGTCGAACACCTTGGGTGCTGACGACGTGCCCAAGAAATCGAAGTTCTTCGAAGCCAAACTGGCACTTCTCTGGCTTGATAGTCAAGTCTGCCGAACGAATTGCTTCTAACACAGAGCGAAGGCGCTTCATGTGCTCCTCGAATGTTGCGGCGAAGATGACCACGTTGTTCAGGTACACTAATCAACACTGCCACTTCAATCCGGAAAGTACAGTGTCTATCATCCGTTGGATTGTTGCCGGCGCGCAACAGAGTCCAAAAGGGCGAGCCTTAAATTCAAACAGCCCGTCCGGGGTAATAAACGCAGTATTCTCACGATCATGTTCATCAAATTCGATTTGCCAGTATCCACTCTTGAGATCTAGTGATGAGAACTTTGCACACCGAAGTCGATCTAACGTGTCGTTGATGCGCTGAACGGGGTATACGATCTAACGTGTCGTTGATGCGCTGAACGGGGTATACATCTCGTTTAGTCACAGCGTTCAATTTAATTTTCGGTAGTCGACACAAAACTATAGCGTGTTATTCTTCTTCTTGACAAGCACCACGGGAGATGCCCACGGACTGTTAAAAGGCTGGATAACACCATCTTGAAGCATCTCCTGTACCCGATTCTTTATAACTTCCCTTTCCTTCGGTGAAACATGATACGGGTGCTGCATACTGGCCTGGTTGTCGCATCCGTTATAATCCTCGTGCATCATCATCCCGTTACATTATCATCGACGACTTGTAGTGGAGTATTGTATCACTCTTCTACTTGTGCTGCTCTTATAGTGTGGTTCCGTCGAAAATGACACACTTGACCTCTGCAAATTAATAATGGCACCATTAGCTTGTAAGAAATGCATTCAGAGTATGACTTCTCTCGAACACAGAGACAGGAAGACAAAGTCACTGTCGAAAAATGAAGCCTCCGTATTACGACCCTTGCGATACATCGACCGAAAGGGGTTATAAGGTGACTGCCTGCAGTACGTACTTGAGCTCTATTCCATTCGGTCAAAACTTTCCGGAGTCGCTTCGCTAATTCGTAACTTATCACAGAATAATCCGCACCAGTATCGATCAAAGCATTGAGTTCTAGTCCGTCTATCATCAACGGCAAGTCTGAATTAATTTTCTTTCTACTGCACTCCTTTACCTGGAAACAATCGTCGTCACGCTCGTATCGCAGTGGAGGATCTTCATATCCAAGGTTGCCCTCTTGAGTTTCCCGGATTTGGGCTAGACGAACGATGCCTAGACGCGCTTGGGAAGGGACGTGGGCTGGACGAGCGGTAGCGCATAGGGGATGGTGAGTGCGGTCGAATACGTAGAGGCAGGTCGAAATTCCGACGTGAGCATAAGTATTCTTCAATCTCGGAAGGTCTTTCGCCGTTTCACGAACACGGCGCATTGATGGCGAATCCCCAAGATTAGCTTGACTATATTAGCAGAATCGGTACAGGTGGCCAGCTTCTCCGCAGTGGAAGCACAAGGGCCTACGTGCGGCATCTCGCCATACATCGCTCTTCCGTGGCATGGTCTCTGTCGCACGAGGTGGAGTGCGTGCTGCTTCTACGATTTCAGGCAAGCTGCGCCTTGTCTGCACATAAGTACTTGGTGTCTCGATCGGCACACAGTGCAGAGCAGGTCGCCTGAGCACCTCAGAGTACGTTGCCGCCACCCGTCGTGTCGCTGGCACATCACTACACGGCTCCCGCCTGGCCTGCCGAATTTCTCCTCGGACAACTTCAGCAAGAGACAGCTCGGGGGTGACATCAGGTGACTGCAATTTCCTCAATACCTCTCTGACAACAGACCGGACGAGCTCCCGCAATGTGTCAAGATTATCCACGACGCCTGCTGAGTAGACTCCTGCTGATGCACCGGCTATGTCACGGCTGTACCGTTGGGCTCTCAGCTGCAGCGCCGTTTTGATGATTGTTGCTTCCGACCAAAACTCAGCAACAGTATGGGGCAGATCCCGAACGAGTCTCGCGAACAACTCTTGCTTTACCCCGTGCATGAGGTGGGGCACCTTCTTGCTTTCTGTCATGCTGAGATCAGCTCGCTTGAAAAGGCGGGAGATATCTTTGATGTACATCGCGACCGTTTCGTTCGTTTGTTGATTCCGTCTACGAAGAGCTGCTTTCGCCTTTTCCCGGCGATCACTGTTGTCAAACGTACTCAGTAGCTGCCGCCAAAACTCTTGCCTTGACGCTAGAGATGCCTCGTGGTTTTCGTACAACACTTGCGCAGAGTCTTCCAATGCAATGTAGGTGTTGCGCAGCTTGCCCTCCTCGTTCCACTAATTTAGATTTCTCACTCTGACAATGCTCGAAGCAGTCTTCGGCGTCCTCGTATGGGTCACTGTGAAACACCTTTGGAATGACAGGTTGGCTTACGATGAGTTGTCCCGGCGTAATTTGGCTCGTCATAGTGATGGTGGCACTTGTCTCCAACACCGATGTCCTTGAGACAGAAGGAAGTGGTCCGAATTCTGGCGATTCTCCTCAGATACGACGGCTTTGATGCTTTGATTCTAATTTAAATGACTGAAAATGTGTCAAAATGAACAAATAAGTGTAATTAGTATATATGTAAGCTCCTGTAAAGGTGGTTTCACTGCAGAAAAGAAGTGTTCAACTATGAAAACGCTAGCGAAATCCAGACTGTTGTGGAACTCTACTTCGATGTTAAATAAACATTACTCTCACACCCATTCATAATTTTTTAAATTGAAAAGCTTGTTATACCACTTTATGTGCTATATGTATAATAAATTTTTAAATGTAACATATTTTGCAGGTCAATATTTGCATTCTATTGAAAGTAAAATTCTGCTACTATAGTTTAAGTTGTTTCCACTTCCTCTGCAGAAAGAAGCATGCCATATGCGTAGGCCACCTTATGGCACAAATATGTGCTTTGAAACATGAGAGTGTCAGCGCTGGCAGTAGCCACGACGGTGCTGACTGCAATGACTGCCACCATAGCTTAGTAGTATCAGACGCCTTATTCGATGGTTGCAGATTCGGTCCCTGCCCATGTCAAGTCATTTTTGCGTCCACTTTTCTTCTTTCACATTTACATTACATTTACCCCTAACCACCCATATATTTTCCTCGGCATTATTCCCTTTGTTCTCATTAATATTGTGTCTAACAAAAAAAAAATGAGCCCTTAAAATTGACAATTTTTTACTATATATGAGGCTTGCAGCAAAAGCACCAAAGCGTTCCAATTTTCAAGAATGTCAAAAAAAATCAGCCATTGACTGCATGTGTGAAAAAAGAACACAGAATGAGAAAGGTTCATATGCGCTGCTAATCGAGTTTGGGCAAAAGTGTTCCAAATTTGCTACACCACTTTCTCTGCGACATACAGTTGAACACATTTTTAAGAGACATGCACAGGGCAGCAATTATTGCCTCTTATATGAGGTGTCTCTTACCAACAGGGTATCACGTATGCATTTTTTTATCATCACCTATTTCAATGTAGGCACAGTTGTGTCTCTTTTACGAATTTGTCTCTTAAATCAGTGTCTCTTACACAGGGGTTTAACTGTATGAGAAAGTAATACGCCTGGAAAGATTCATTCATTACTTATGATGCTAATGATATGTATAAGGCTTCCCTGAGCTATGGCAGAGTTCTTATCACTTCAAAAACATTGTGCGAGCAGCTCACCCATAAAATAAGGCACCCAAAAGCAAACATGTCACTGGCAGGTGTTGGCTCCATCGCATTGAGAGTGCGCAGCTCCGGCGCAGTAAAATCAATAGCGCCAGCCACAGGCAGCTGCAGATTGTTGCCCTGCAAAACCACATTTACAAAAAGAGGTTACTATGTACAGGCCAGTGCAGATTTTCATTACAAGTTTTCAGAGTGGAAATTACATAATTGAAATTTCAGTAATAACGTGCTTTTAAAGAGCCAAACAAAAAAAGCTAAAAAGTATTACATAAAGACAGCTCCTCATTTTTTTTCAGACGGGGGTCAAACTGGTCAGTATATTAGAATTTTCTTAACAGCAGTCCATCTGCCCAATAACAGCAATTTATAAACCAGCCATTAAGCAATTATTTCCCGTTAGAAATGTTCACACAGGCTTACAAAGGCTGGCATCTGTCAATGTTAAAAAAAAAAAACAGAGAGAGGAACAATTCAGTTTCCTGAAGTAAATTATGAGCCAGCAATACTAAAAACACCACTGCTACTCTAGAAGACAAGAAATAAGCCAATAAACATGAGTCAAAAAAAGCAAACACAGGTGTTGCTGCCATCAAGAGGGCCTCAATTGTGATCAATAAAAACTATGGACCATCTCTCCAAAGGAAACCCTGATGAGATGTAAAGCAGCAGCAGTATGCACGGCGTTGACCCGATGGAAACGGGCGTCAACGCAAGTGCTGAAAGAACGATTTGAAGCGAACCTCGGTGTAGGTCTTACTCGAGTACACAATTGTTTGAAACCCAAAGACACAGGAGAAGGGACGCGTTGCAGATGCTTGCGTTCAGCTTCCTTGGCTTGCATCTCGTCGGTGTTACCAGCACACCATCTGTATTCCCAAACGTGATCGATGTTCTTGACTCGCACTTCGTTGGTGACGCTGTTCTTCCACTGCAGACACTTGCGTTCGGCTTCCCTGTCTCGTGCCTCATCGGTGTTGACGTTGCCATTCGCGAACGCGATCGGCTTTGCTTAGCCTCGCAACTCTGGCGACATCCGAGAAATGTACTCGCACACTAGCGGGAGTTATGTCGCAACAGCATCCTGCCCATCGGCGCGATTGCGCTGTCCACATTGTTGGCGCTGCCAGATTTTCGAGGCGCGCGCACCCGCCGGCTCGCGGTTTTTTCTCGACGACAGATGGAGAGAGGTGACGCGACTAAGATGATGACCACGTGAGGTGTGGGCTTGAGCATTGCAAGCACGGGAGAGGGTGAACAGAGAGAGAGGCAAGCGTGCGGCAGGCGAGGGAGAGACATAACCATGCACTGCCAGGAGGGCGTGAGCTACTTGGCACCGCTCCAACACCTGCAGCAAGGGGAGTGGTGTGGACAGAGAGAGAGCGTTACAGATGCTAGTCAAACAGCTGCTTCGCATCTAAAATGGAGCATACAGAGTTCTAAGGAACCAAGGAACTTGATATGGTACATTTATAGAACATTTCTAGAGCCGAAATGGCAAAAATACAGAACAACACTTTGAAAACAGAGATGTTACATTGATTACATCCTAAAACCTCTGAAACAAACAAAAAAAAAATCACAGCATATCTACGAGGTGAATTATGAGTGGGCGAAGCTCCGGAAGGAATCATCGGTAAACTGTCATTATTCCATGTAATCCCCCCAGTCGATCATTATTTAAAAACATGAGAAACGCCGTGTGTGTATGCCGTGCCGCTTGGGCTTTCCGTTGTTATACGGCAGGATCTTGTCGGCGCCACCGCGGAGCTTCACGGAACACTTCTGCCTTGTGCGCTCGGACATCGGAATTCAGTCTTCATGCGCGAGCCCCCACTATTGCTTAGCGCGCACGCTGCTCTGCAGCCTTGTCCATCCACCAACCTTCTGAATGCGCCTGTGCCAAAACGGCTTTTACTTTACTACACCGCGCCCCCTACCATACGGCGCCGTCGGCACACACTCGACAGCCAACTCTTCATGTGACGTCATTCTTATTTTCTCGTGCACTCGCACATTGGGGCTCCGTCTTCAAGCGCGAGCCGCCACTGCCTTGCCTGTATCAATACAGCCTTTTCAGTATATATGGATTTGCTATATTTACAAGTACCACCCTCTAACGACTGCTTTAAGACCTAACGACAAGTGGCTACATAAACTTACGACGAGACGCACGACCCACGCCTTAAAGAGCTTCTTCCCTAAATGTTCACTTTTCATATTTCTCTTTTATAGCCCTGAACAGGATACATTGGTTTGTGAGAAGTCCTGGCAGCAGGCGAAAGTGCCTTTTGTAGCAGGCTTGGAGCAGCCAGGAAGGCTTTTTCAAACACAGCTTGGAGCAGTCAGAGAAAAAATTCAGTCAGCCAGACCTCACGAATGCTACCAGCCCCACCGGTAGAAACCACGGATGTGCAATTTGGTGCCAAATCAACGAAATGCTTTGCAATGGTCACATTTTGAAAGGAAAACAGCATTTTTATATAGAAACAACTTTCCAATTATGAAAGCAGCGACTTGCATTGTGAACGAGGGAGTGCATGGTGCATGTGCAAAATTCAAGTTGTGGTTCGCGATCACCAATGCTTCGGACATCGCACTTAAAGCAAGCGAAAATTCGGTTGCCATTATGCGGCGAAATCCGCCAGCGTGAGCGAGTAGGCAATTTTCTGCAACAGTTTCTATTGCCGCGCTCGTTTTGTCAGCACAGCAGGCATGCGAATGTTAACTATTCATCATTTGCCAATGTAAGATAAGAATTTCAGTAATGCCACTGAGGTCTTCCGATTTGGAGCAATTTTTGGAGCAGCAAAATTTTCATTTTGGAGCCCTCTGGATCAGTAAAATTTTATATTTTGCAGCACTTTGGAGCAGCAAAATTTTCCATTTTGGAGCAATCTGGAGCAGCTAACTTCAAATCCTGGAGGAGAAGCAAGTTCGATTTACATTCAATAACATGAAAAATCATTTCGAGGCTCTTGTGAAGAGCTAGAAATATTTAGACTGATTGCAAGTTTCATGGAGCCAAACATCTCAGAAGCACTCGCTATTTCTGTAGATGATGCAAGAATAAAGACGTCATGCTGTTGAGCATTCTGGAAAAACTTGTTCTGTGAATATTTCCGTAGCAAATAAACATAATACTGGTTGAATAAAATTGTACTTCATGAAATAACAATATAAATACATCAATGTGGTTATCAGCACATATGGTAGCCAAACGCTGTGGCGTACAACGCCAGAGACTCACAGAGTCCCAAGTACATTTCCCTCAGATGACTTTGAGAATAAAAAAAAAGGTTCACGACTGATTAGACTGTTGGGCGTAATATGACAGCATTCAGCTAGTCACAGAAAGGCAACCTCCTCTCGCACTCACCTCTGTGCGAAAACTACACAATTTAAGAAACTTCGTTTTCCTTTTGCAGCAATATCTTATGTGGCTAGGGCGTTCTGTCTATACTCCGAAAACCTCTTAACCTGCCTTTTAGAAAGCAGTGCATAAAAAAAATCACGTTAGCTGCAAGCTTTCGTTGATGCTTAAATTACAGATTAAGGGCCTAACACCATAGGTCGGCACTTTGAGAGACTACTCACTCCTACTCACTCACCACAATTTTTTTCAGCCTTCACCCTCACTCACGTTCATACTCATGTCTATTCCCACTCATAGGCCCTCACTCACGTTCATACTCACGCCTACTCACACTCACTCCTACTCACTCACGTTCTTACTCCTTCTCACACTCAAAGTACTCACTCATGTTCATACTCACTCCTTGTCACACTCAAAGTACTCACTCACATTCAAACTCACTCATACTCACACTCATGAGTACTCACTCACGTTCAAACTCACTTCTACTCTCACTGAAAGTACTCATTCACGTTCATACTCACTCTTACTCATGCTCATGAGTACTCACTCACGTTCATACTCACTTATACTCATACTCAGAGTACTCACTCACGTTCATACTCCTACTCACACTCATGAGTACTCACACTCATGAGTATTCACTCACGTTCAAACTTACGCCAACTCACACTCTAGGCCCTCACTCACGTTCATACTCACGACTACTCACACAGATGAGTACTCACTCATTTCATACTCCAACTACTCACACTCGTGAGTACTCATTCACGTTCTAACGACGACCTTGTCTGCGATAGAATTCAGACTTCGACAGCCTGCACAATCGGATTCAAGCGATAGGACAAGGCAGGTGACGCCCTTAACTACAGGACAAAAAGCAACGGAACTAGTAAAGCTATCAAAGCTTGAAATGATAAAGTCTGGGAGAAAAGCTTTGGAGTAGAACCGCTTTCGGGCTCAGTACGAGTCGGCAGTTCACCTGAGACCGAATATGAGCAAGAGACAGAAGTTCAATTACTTCTTAGCATCGCTAACCAAAAAAGCGGCGGCTGCTATTGAAAGACTTCAGTACTCTGCAAAGGAAAATTATGACGACGCAATCAAAATACTGAAAAAAACGTTTGGCAATTGCAAACATTCCATTGAAATGCACATGAATGAGCTCTTGAGTTTGGAGAAAGTGAGGCCTGCTCAAGATACTGACGACTTAAATAGGCTAGTATAGAGAGTGCTAGTTACTATATTGGCACTCAAGTCCCTAAAAGTGGAAACCGAAAGCTATGCGCCGATGCTGTTATCTGTATTGAAAAGAGCTATTCTACCAAAATTATCAGTGCAGTTCAGGTCAAAAGAGGCTATGAGAAACAGCTCAGCTTCAGAGAAAGCCGAGCAAAGCAACGCAACGGGAAAAGCTGGACAGGCTTATGTTATTCTTAAGAGAGCGGGTGGCTTTTCGTGAAGAAACACAACGTGAACGAGAGAGGATAACGGCAAAACCAAGAGAGAACGGCCGACAGATGCGCACAACTTCAAGCTTCTACAGATCAGCGGACAGAATATGCTTATTCTGCAAGCAAAAAACCCACGCAACAGAAAACTGCCGTGGGAGCATTCCAACGGATGAAAAGGAAGCTATGCTTACCGAAAATAGAGCATGCTTCAGATGCACGCGACCAAACTACACTGCACGCATTTGCAAGGCCCAAGTAAAATGCCAGCAATGCAAGGAACGACATGCCACGTC